AATTTTAATTTATTACATAATAAATATTAATTATTAATTATTTTTAATAATTAAATTAAAGTATAAATTTAACTATTTTAATAACGTTATTAAAATTAATGATGCCGTGACTACGGCCCCCAGGCGGCATTAAAAACCAAACCGTGTAGTTATCGTGGACCCATCCTCATACACAAAAACAAATCATCATCATCATAACACATACCATACATATAACATAAAACCATCATTGACATCACATACCATAAAAGCATGACCCTCCCTACTCTCCTATAAATTCCCCCCTCTGCCTTTGATTTATTTCTCCAAACAATTCTCTGTTCTCTGCTAACTGCCTTAATTCAATATTCAAGAAAAAAAATAAAGAAGGTTTCAGTGAATGGGTGAGGTGAGTTTGCCGCATTCTTCTTCTCGTCTTATCTTCCTTTATGAATCTTGAAATTTTTCAGGATTTGGACTTAATTGTTTTATTCGGTATTCGACAGAAAAAGGAGAATGCTAAACCGGCCGATGCCGGCAGCGATGACAAGGTCACCGCCGTGTACAAGATTGACATGCATTGTGAAGGATGCGCGAAGAAAATCAAGCGGGTGATTAAGCATTCCGATGGTAATTACAAAATTAAATCATTCCTAATCGGCGATTCATTCTTCAAATCTGAAATCGGAATGTTCTATATTCGATTGACCTAATCTGATTCCTAAACGGTTACAACATGAATTTATTTTCCGTATTCAATGTTTTCTTGAATGATTTTACTGTTTTGTCCATATATTTTGTTGAGATTTATCAATTTTACTTTTCGTTAGTCTTGCCGTGATAAATGGGGGATGATTTGGATAAGGAATACAGCTAATTGTGGGATCCGACTTGACCAAGAAAAGATTGGAGAATTCGTTTGACATGCGTGAATGAAATTCCAACGGCAAGTAAACCTAACACACAAGTTTTGTTTGGTGAAGGTGTGGAAGAAGTGAAGACAGATTGCGGAGCCAACAAACTGACGGTGATTGGCAAAATGGACCCTGCCAAGATCAAAGAGAGATTGGAGGAAAAAATAAACAAAAAGGTGGAGCTCGTCTCTCCTCAGCCGAAGAAGGACGGCGGTGGCGGCGATAAAAAAGCCGACGAGAAGAAGCCCGAGAAGAAACCCGAGGAGAAAAAAGAGGAGAAGAAGGACGAGAAGAAAGCAGCACCTAAAGAGGTAATTAAATTATTACTAAAAAGCTCATATCGTGCGCATATTGGCTAACAAAAGCCGTTCCTTCCGGCTCATGTTAGCACGTGCGGACCGGGAGGCCGCGGAAGTTGAGTTGTTCTATCAGAAATTAATTAATTAATTAATAATCACTTAATTTTTGGCCAACTAGATTAATTACGTATTTAATGAGTTTTTTTTTTTCAGTTTATATTCAGGCGCTTACTTAATGAATTTAATTAGATTTTAATTGTTGTTAATTATTGTGTGGTTACAGAGTTCGGTGGTTTTGAAGATCAGATTGCACTGTGATGGTTGCATAAAAAAAATCCAGAAAATCATCTTGAAGATCAAAGGTATATAAATTTTTTTAATATATAGATTAAATTAATCACCCACGATGATGCATTCATCTTTCTAAATTAATCTAAAATTGTAGGCAACAAGTTAAGCTATTTAATTAATAGAAGGGATAATACTTATGTACTTATCAAAAGTTAAGAGGAAAATAATTTTAAGATTACTTATTTTAAGAAATTTTTATAAAAAAATTAAAATATTTTATTTTTAAAAACATAAATCAGAGGAATTTTTAGTTTTTTATATTTTATTAAAATAATAAAAATTTAAAATAATTTTTTTCTCAATAAGCACTAATTCTATTAATAAATATTAATCTGATTTTTAAAAAAATATATTTTCAGGAGTTCAATCGGTAGCTATAGACGGAGGCAAGGATCTCGTAACTGTAAAAGGCACAATGGACGAGAAAGAGCTGGTTCCGTATCTCAAGGAGAAGCTGAAGCGCAACGTGGAGCTTGTTCCCGCCAAAAAAGAGGAAGGCGCGGGTGAAAAGAAGGAAAAAGATGGCGGCGGTGAGAAGAAGGAAAAAGAAGCTGCTGCTGCTGGTGGCGAGAAGAAAGAAGGCGGCGGCGGCGGCGGCGGTGGGGAGGCGAAGATGGAGATGAATAAGATGGAGTACCACGGGTCTGCGTATCCACCGCAGCCGATGTACTGGTACGATGGGCAGGCGCACGGGCAGGCGTACGGGCAGGGGTATGGCGGCCCGAGTTATGCGGTGGAGAACTACGCTGGGCCGAGCCATGGTTACGTGAACTATGGTTATGTTAACCAAGGGTACGAGTTGGATCCGCGCCATCCGCTTCACGCGCCTCAGATGTTCAGCGACGAAAATCCTAATGCATGCTCCGTCATGTGAGAAGCACGGAAGGAGTTAAAACGGCGAGAAAGAAAAAGAGGGACTTAAATGTAAATAAAGAAATTGGCTAGGGAGAGAGGGAAGTAAATACCAAATTCATGGTAGATTAGGGACTTAGAAATAGACCAGCCGGTCTAATTAGTTAAATTGTGGGGGTGGTTTTGGCATTTTGTTCCTTCTTTTACTAAATAAATATATATCTAAATATCTAAATTTTGTGCCACCAGAATATTTAATAATTAATAAAAAAATCTTATCTTTGAAAATTCGAAAAAAAAAAGTAGTCAGCTGCAAGCTGTGTGCCACGGGTTTTGTGGTTGAATTATCCAAATGTTCTTTTGAATTTTTTGTCTCATGTATTAGTGGCATGTTCAAGGCACATGATTAATTTCATTGTGTGGTACAAATTATTATACTGTTTTTTTTTTTAAACGGGAAAAATTAGTAAAAAAAAGAGTAGGCCCTGATATTTGAATTCAAATCATTATATTCACCACATCTATTTAAAGGTGGTTATTAAACCACCAAGGGTTGGACAATTATTGTACTAATTTAATTGCAACACTAGTACAAAACTTCATTGTTTATTTACTAGCAGACCCTTTTTTGGCTTTACCGAAAGAACCTGTTTTAAGTTTATTTATTTATTTTAAAACAATGTTATAAGTGTATGCTGATTTACTTTATATTGTACTATTAGAATACTATATATATAGTTTAAATTATATTAAATTAAAAAATAAAAACTATTGGTTGACAATTTTTAATATAAGAGAATTTATTTTTATCTAATAATTTAAATTGTATAGTTAGTTATAATTTGAAGTACATAATACTTTTTTTATTATATGAGCTGTGAAACATAAAAGAAATAAAAACAAAAATGGACCTAAATAAACTTTTTGGGGCTGGCATTATAACTAAAAAACTCACTAGTTTTTAATTAAAATTAGTTTCGGAATTAATCCTTATGATTTTGGTTTAATCTTTTTTAATTAATGATGGTTAGCTCGCTTTCCTCAATCAAGATTGAGAAACTAGTAGGGTAGTGGTCCAAAGTATGGCTTCATCAGCATT